AGAAATTATATTTTTTTCAGGAAAGTTAAAGTCCATAGTACTTGTTTATATTCTATCTCCATTTTTTCAATTAAACTAAAGTGAATCTGAAGTAGCTAGATTTCTTCTAAATCCACACAGCTGAGGAAACCTGTGCTTGCTCTTTCTCTGAATTTTCACTGAGGGGCTTTTATCTCCCCCTAATCCCACCATTTCTGTCAGGACATAATCTCTTTCTCAAATTTACATTTTAATTACAAGGCCAGCTGAACTAGCTAAAATCAATAATGTCAGCATTCAGCAGTCTAACTTCAGCTGAAACCCCAGCCTCTCTCTTTCCTTCTATCGATTTATCTTGTGAACACGGTCTACTTTATTGCTTCAGGCAAATAGGTGCCATTTGGTCAATTTAAACAAAAAAGGGGATTTGAACATTTTTATGATTCTTTCTAAAAGCTCATATTGGAACAATTTGAACCCAGATACTGTACTTGTGCTAAATAAAATATACAGAATGCAGAATTCTTAAGAGGAATTTTACTTTTAAACCTACACTTAATCCCATCTATGTCTTTAAAACAAAACAACAAAAAAAACCCACCCTGACATTGTATACCATTCAGCTAGGGCTGTTTGCATGGTGACTCTTGTCTTTATCTTGTTAGCAAAAAACTAATTTTATAAACTTTTTTTAAATCCACGGTAGAGGTGGTGTTACTGATGTTGTAGTGTATTTACCTCTAGCCATTTTTCTGTTAATGGTTTAAAATAAGAAATCAATGGGAAAATATTTTTTTCTTGTAACTCTTAAGAATTCCTATATTGATTTTTTGGATGTGATTTTATCTATCTAAATGTCACATTGTCCATTTATCTCTCTTGCCTTTTCTGTGTGTTGCTGACTGCTTGTCTCTGCTGTTCACATCTTCTCCCCCTCAAACAAAATTGGTGTAGTGAATGAGCAACCATGCTTTCTGTAAACATCATAGGGAAAAAAAATTGGAAAAAAACTAAGGTTTCCTCAGAACTCTTAATACATATGCACATATTCTCTCTGAAGAGGAGAAAGGTGTGACACATACCTGCTACCTTCTGACTTCAAGATGGTTTATAAATAGCAGGCATACAAGTGCTCTCAAAACTGTTGCTTTAAACAGTGCTTTTCAGAAAGATATTCTTGTCCTTAAAAAAAAAAAAAAAAATAAAATTAAGAAGCAACTTCAAATGCTAAATACAGTCTAAGCAGTTCTACATTACAGATAGTCTATCACATATTTTTCTCAGCTAGCCTTGCTCATGCCAAATGGCCTGTTTGTTTGTAGCTGTTTCTGTTATAAAAGGATGTTTACTCCTCCAAATCCTGATTATTTTAAAGTGTGGTTGTAATAGAATCTTTTGGGTTAATTCCGTTTCACTTTAATACAAAGCACCTGAGAAGGGCTTTTTCCCTTCCTAGACTACAATAGGAGCTGAGATGGAGTTTTATCCTGCCCCCTGTCCAGATACATAAATTCAAGATTGCTCCCTTAATATTTTGCTGAAAAGCTGTTTAAAAAACATTATTGGAGGCACCATTATCTCTTTTGAATGGCAAGTCCACAGCCTAGTAAATGTCATGAGATCATTTCTTTTGCTATTTAACCTAGATATTTCTATGCTTAGTTCCATCTTTTTATGGTTAATTACATTTCCCTTATTGCTGGTCCTTCTGCTCATTTTGAGACCCTTTTCCAATTCACATATTAGTCCTTTAAATTATGTTTTTAACAATGTTCTTTAAAGCCTTGTTGACTTTGGGAAGGGAATTTAGGTAACAAGGTGAATGTGGTATGTTCATCACTTTCATTCGAGTACATGATGTGGGCATGACTGAGTAAGGTAGTAGTAGTGTCAGGCACACTCAGCAGCAAGATGTCTTGTGTCTACAACTGGTTTGAGGACATAAAAATTAAAAAGGAGTGATCCTTCTTTGCATCACAGTCCATGCTAACTTCAGTCTCAGGAAGCATTGAACAGCACGAGCAGCACTGTCTTTCAAGACACTCTGCCTTAGGAATGTGGGCTTTGGTTTTAGGGTGTTTTCTGGAGCACAGAACGGGGAGTCAGGGGAGAGCTGGGTTTTGCACTGGCTTCAGACTGTGGTGAATGTCTTTTTTCCCCTCTCTGCAGCGTTTGCTGCCTGTGAACATTTGGCCAGTGGGTACTTGCTGAAGTCTTATCCAGAACAGCCCCAAGACTGGCACTACTGAAATACCCGCTGTCAGATGTGTGTTCACTCCTGTGGGCTATTTACCCGATACACAAGTAGCCTTTTCTTAGGAAAGGTGGAATGCATCAGCCTCCCAGAGCTGGGTCTGATCTCTCTATGGACATGAGAAAATCCCATCTCACACAAGTTGAATCATGGATATACTTGCCTCCCCTCAACTGTCTCATTAAAATGACCCACATTGCTCTTTGTTGTACACTGGATAAGCAGAAGAAATGTATTGAGTTGTTGTGGGAGAGTGAGGAGAAGACAGAGAATTCTCTATGAATGCCTATTAACTGCTGATGGCTAGTGCTCTCTCATCCTTTTTCCTTCTCTGGATCCTATTTCCTTCTCTCTCTTGTTTTGAGAGATGCAGTTAAGCCACAGTCGTTGCTACTAGCCTCTGCCCAGAATTGCCTTGCCTTTAAAACATTTTCCTTTACTGTTAGTTAAGCCATACTAGAGACATGGGGTCTCAGAAGGTCTTGAAGAGTCCTCATCCTTGAGAGGATTCCAGAGCACTCTCTTCTCTGTGGAGTCTGTTGTATTAAAATCTAGGAATGAGTGAAGTAACTATTTGCTGTATGCAGCAAAATTTAAAGTCTCTGCATGCAAACAAGCCAGATCCAAATGGATGTCTGCTTTTGTTTCCTCTCTCCTCTCCTTCTGAGGGTCTCTAGCTTTGTGGATTTCGAATTGTGATTGTTGGCTTACTCCAGCAAGATGTCCAGTAAACTAGGTTAAGCAGGGGGTTGTCAGCATTGTTCTCAGTGTCCTCAACTTGGAGCCTTGAAAAACAAACAGAAGATGTCATTCCCTGTGCAAGGACTTAGCTCCTGATCTAGGCACTTGGAAAGTTTAGACCTATATGTATCTAAGGGGTGAGTCTAGAAGGTTGCCAGCTCAGCAACTTGACCTTTGCCTGCAGTCAGGCAATGCCTTCTATGTGGTTATACCCCCTAGGTTACAGGGAACATGTGGTGCAAATGAATCAAGGTCAGGATGAATTACTGCAAGATTTTATAAGGTGGAAAGAAGGGGTCAGGGCAAGTTGCTCTGATTTTTTTTATTTTTATTTTTTCTGAAAATTAGGGGGGGATTCCCTGAAATTAAAATATTTTGTGCACCAAAGCTACCTACTGCTACAGGTCCTGCAGTTTTTCACTGGGAGGGCAGGTCATAACCACATTAGCTTTTCCTTTTTCAGTTGATATCTTGTGATACATTTAATGATCAAAGCAACCACATTAGCAAAGCAAGAATACTTCTGGATACAGCTTCAGGGCTGGCTAGAAGTGGGCAAGAGACTAAAAGTCCCAGTTAAATAATGGCCATTGAGTTTACTATGCTTTACCATCAGTTTACTGTATCAGGTAAACTCAGGTTTTTTTTCACAAGAAGACTGAGATAATTTGCTTAAAACTTTAGGCTTGTAAAACCATGACTTTTTTTGAGTTGATTTTAGTTTTTTTTTTTTTGGGGGGGGGCTTTAATTTCAATCACTTCTTTTATAAAAAGGCTTTCTGGTGGGGAAAATGTAGTCTATTATGTTAGTGTGGGGGATCACATCTTTCCATTTTTAGCTGTCGTTGGCTGTAAAGTTCTTATTACTACCTCCAGCTAATAGAGCTGCTTCTCTAGCTCAGCGGGTAGAGACACGTGCTGTCTAACTGCTCAGCCTATCTAATTGCATCGTTACAGTTTGTGCTGACTGTCTAATCTAGCTATACGAAGTAATTAAGTTGCCCTACCATTGAGCTGCTGGTGCTGAACATCAGTGTCTGGTGCCTTGCAGTGGGCTTTTCCTCAGGTGTAACTTAGGCATTTACTGTCTCTTGAGAGTACTCTGTGGGTTTACCTATTGCTTCTGCCAGCACTTAGATATTTTATCTTGGCAAACTGTGGTTTAGTATCTGTGAAAGAACATTCCTTATATAATTCTGTTTGCAGATATATTTAGGAATCAAAACACAACTCTTCTCAGTGGTGCTGCCTTTTAAATCAGGGGGGAAAAAAAAAAGTTATTTTATATCTCTGAAGGGTCAGTATAGTAGCTGAGAATCATCAGAGAATAGGGCTGTGCCTCACACAAAAATTTTTTTTTTTTTTTTTTCACTGGGTGTACTTCCCCACCAGCAGTGCTGCTGGGTGACAGTGGTTCTTGTTCTTGTCAGCCATGTGTTGCTGTGCATCCCTCGCCCCAAAGTGGTTTCTCTTTGCCAGGCTGTAAGAGTTTCAGCTGGACTTTTTGCTGAGACACCACAAAGAATTAATCATAGCACACAGAAGGATATGAATGTATGCCTTTCCTTTTACTTTCTACTTCTTTTGCATATCTTTTTGGACTCTAGGTGTTAAACAGTAGTGCCAATAGTTCCCTTCTTTTCACCTTGATATAACTTTGAGTACAGAAATGATATATCAGCAAGAACATGTGACACTAGAAACTTATGTACAAAAAGCAATATTGCAGTTTAGGCAAGCAGTACTGTTAAAATCCTTCTTTCACCTACTTTCAAGATGAAGTAACATTATTTTTTGTTGTCACATAAATTTAAAAGTTGATTGCGTAGTTATTCAGTATGTTTCTGTCCAAAAATAAGAAAAAATTTCAGAGACAGAAATACCAGTCTTGTCTATGAGCGAGACTGAAGTCTAATACAAAGTCAAAGCAGTAAGACATGTAATCAGCATCCTGAGCTGCTTGGCCCCACTATGAAGTGTTGAGGCTGGGAGGTGAATCGCTCTTAAACATTGAGTCTTTTTGCAGGGCTTGAGCCTCAGACACTTCCAAAAGCACCAGTGGGGAAGACATCAACAGGACCAGCTTCAGTGAACTCCTGCACCCAGCTGAAAGGGAATGAAGATGAACTTGATCCAACCTGTGCAGCTGCCACGCTGAAACTTATTAGAGACAAACTACCAAAGTTACCACCTCCACATGCCAGGTTATCTTTGTTTTAATTCTTGCAGAAACCTCTTGCTCTTACTTGTATTTTAGTCATGAAAGCAAGTGGAAAAGCACTCATGAACTAGGCAAACTGTTAATGCTGTCTTGGTTTTATTTTGAAGTTACAGTTCTTTTACTGAGATGCACATTCACTACTTAATATGTAGGATTTTGTTAGTGATTGCACCAGGATCTTAAGGAACCTTTTACTGCTCACTTGGTTTAGGTTTTATTTGGTGTTAATGGTCTCTATTAAAATATAAAGTGTTCCCTTCCCTCCTAACAAAAAAAAAAATCTCCACGTTTATTGGGGTAATTTTTGGTCTGCAACTAAATAGAATGTATCCTAATACTAAATCAGAAAATGGTTTCAGCAATCAATCTCTTGGTTCCTAGTGACTTGTGCTGTCAGTGCTGCCTGGAGGCATGTTTTACTGATTCGAAAGGTGTATTTGCTGTCAATCCTATTCAAAGCTTGGTGAAACTCCAGCCTTGTCCAGCATTTATCTGTGATTTGGGGATAAGGCTGGAGTAATCTACTTAGTGGCATGTTCTTGAAAAGACACTTCTGCATTGGTCAGGAAAGTCCCCAAAACCTAGTGAACTGGAATGCAATGTCAGAAAGAGAAAGGGGGTTTGCTTCATTAGACTCTGGAGTTTGGAGTATTCAGGCAAACATTTTTATTTTTAATCTTTAAAAACTTAATGTGTTATTAAGGTGACTAACAGCATTTGCAGCTCTATCAGCGAATACTCAAGGTCTCTGTAGTAGTACAGTGATTTTTCAGGACTAGTGAATTCTGTAGTGGTGTTGCACAGTGAGTGTTACAAGTCTGCAAGATGGACTCTTGTCAACAACAGCAAAGACTTTGCAATCTGTGTGACTGCCATGCAAACATGGGCATGAGTTTACACAAGCAAGATCTTTCTAAAAATGGTTTGCCATGTCAGTAGTTTTTTTTTTTTTACACAGGACAGCATGGGTGATCCACTGCTGCCCCCATTAGATCTCTAGGCTTCTCCACCCATGCTGTAATACATTTTATCTGGGTTTAGCTGAATGTGCAGTGTGCTGCACTTTGTGTGTGGTGTTACAGTCCGTATCCTTTTTTTAAAAAAATAAAAGACAAAAAACCAAAAAAAGGACAATCCTGTAAAGGTAGTTGTAGCCCTATATCTAAGATAATATTAGCATTGGTGTGAAAATGTAATGAAAAAAGATAAAAAGTTGTGATCATTGTTGTTCTGTATTGATTTTTCATCTCTTTTCTCCAGTGACTCTGCAACTACTGAGCCAGCAGCCTTGGAAGAGCCTGACAGTAAGAGAAGAAAACTAGAAGAAGAAAGAGCTAAAGCTCCCCTCATGCCTTTTGGATTAGATCTTCACTACTGGGGACAGGATCAGCCAAATGCTGGGAAGATTCTCAAGTAATGGTCTTTTTCTTTTAAGACAATATAAACAAATACATAGATTTACTTGTACTCAGAGGTCATGCAGTGGGGTGACTGCTATTTCTTTTGATAATTACTTTTCTTCTTTCCCTTGTACTGTAGGACCCATAAACAAAGTCAGAAATTCTACCTTAAAATGTTATTTGTTTTGAGAAGGTATGATACTAATTAAATATCCTTTGATGCTTCAAAGCACATTTTTTTCTGCTCTTTCATGTTTGTGTATTATTTGCAGCATGGCATCACTTACTCCAATTTAAATTGGTACCTCATTATGCAAAGTGCTGTGCAAGTGCATGATAGACGGTCCCTCTGCTGGGGATTTTACAGTCTAAATTTTCCTGACTTTACAGAGTGGTAACTGAGGAAATTGATATGCTTGTTCAGTCACACAAGAAATAGGTGGCAGTTACAGGATTTAAATTGGGATATCTCACTTTCATTCTTTTCTGGGAAGGTTTTGTGTTTCTTGGACGTGAAGCATTGTTGACTTTGGGAAAACTTTAGCACTGGGAAGAAAAGATGGTAGGTATACATCAGAACTTGTTTCTAGCAGTCAGTTTTTAAAACCCCATTTTAGGACTAGTATTCTTATATGAAAGTTGGAATGCAAAGTCCTCCCTCTATGTATAAATTTCATTGAAGTCCACCAGAACTTTAGTATGAGTGTGTACCATACCTGGCTTAGAAAAGTCAAAAAACATTGACTGGCTGGATTGTAAATCAAACTCATATATTCTCAGCAGTATTACTTAGTTTGTTTTCTTATCAAAACAAGTTAAAAAAAACCCAAACATGATTGCTGTGTGAAGACAGTGTTTGCAGAGAAAGATACAAGAGAAAAATGTTGCCCCTGTAGCTGATTGCATAAAATGCTGAATATGTTTTAAGTTATTGAAAAACAGTGAAATTTGATACATAATAGTGCTTTAACACAGTTACTCCAAGCTTTGGATTCTGTCTGGTGTGGTGCAGGCTCCTCAAAGCCTATAAAATGGTTAAGATTTTCAGCAGGGCTTTAAGAAGCATTTGTCTGTGATAATGCCAAAAAGGTAGTAAGGCTTTATTTTACATTGCAAATGAGTTATTCAAGTCATAAGTGAAATCAGAAGCATATTTCACTGCCTGTCTGCCTTGTGCTGTACTGTTTTATTTTTATGCTTTCCAATAAAACAGAGGGCACACTTCTGAACCTTATAGTCTATAACTACAGATATGCCAATCTAACTAAAGATAATTTAAGTAACTCTGCACACACAATACCATTGACCCCTGGGTATAAATTATATTTATTGAAGAATTAAGGTAGTCATTGGCCAACTCCTTTAACTTCTCTATATGCACACGTACTGTCTCTATAATGCCTAGGAAAAAAAGCAAACCAAAAAACCAGACAACACATATGAAACGTGTATGGAATTTGAATTTTTAAAGTGTGAAGTGGAAAAGTCTTTCCCCTTCACCTGTTTAACTCTACACTTACTTAATTACAGGATTTACAATAAATTGAGATTTTGATTGTGAGACTGTAGCTACTGGGAAGATGATTTTTCTAAAGAAGTTTTATTTAGCTGGTAAACGGTGATCTTCTTTAGAAGGTGACAGTGACTGTGGGATTTACAAAAAAGTTTGGACCGAACCATTTTCCCTACTTCTTCCTTTGCTCACACTACTCACTAAGCTAGTTTAAGAACTCTTAAAAGGAGTTTATAAAGCTGTAGTAGTACTTTTTTTTGAAGGTGGTGTATGCTGCCCAGTGTTGTACTGTGTGGAGGCTGCTATGCCAGTTTAACCAGCTGTTTTGGATAGCATGGGCCTTCCAGAGTCATCTACCCTCCTTCTTTATTAAATTAGCTGACTGCTGGGATCAGAGAAAATTAGCTGGTGCAGCACTTTTATGACTCTGAGTAAGATATTTGAATTAGCTCATTCAGCACTTGCTCTATGATCTCTGTATGCATCATATGGGTTTTAGAATTTATATTTATTCAAGTTTTTTATAAGCCTCCCATCATGTTAGGAATAAAGTTGATATAAATTTGTTGAAAGAGTGGTGCAACATTTCTCCAGAAGCTGGACTTTTTAGATTTCAGTTAACCATTACTTATCTTTTATTCTTCCTAATGTATAGCTATGTAATTTCTATTAAAGCCTCCGTTACTTGTCTGGATGTAACACTTTTGATGAGTCTGAGTGGGGTGTTGATCTTCTAGTTGATTATCTGTTCCCCTTCTGATCCCTCTTACAAAAAGGCTTTACTTGTCACATGCATCATTTTTTCAGACAAAAATCTCATGTTCTGCCTTTTTAAAATGTTGCTTAAATTACAACAGCAGGAAATCCGAAAACTGGGGGATTTAGCACCAGTTTGTTCTTTTCTCACCTGCTTGTAAGTCATGCTGGGAGAAAATAAGTTATATGCTTGTAGTAAACAATAAAATTTATGAATATCTGTGTAGAAACGAGGCTATTTGAAGTCCAGTTCCCAAATACTGATCAATGGTATAGACAGTAAAACCTAGTCTTAGTTTGCTTGAGATTTGTTGGATGCAGATTGGGGGGGGGCGGGAGAGGCAGAAAAAATATTACACAGAACTTTTTCCTAATTGGAAAGGTTGTCATGCTCAACTGTTAAATGCTTCTTCATTCTCATGTAACTGTAATTTGATAATTTAGAGGGGGAAGAGAGTTCAGACCACCAAAGAACACTAGAATTTTACTATGAGATTCTGTAAGTCTACCTTGCACATAGCAGTCCTGTATATTGTCTCTTTAGGAATGCTTTCCCCTCCTTGTGTCTTGTTTTCAGGATTGTATTAAAACTAAGCAAATAAGAAATTTATTTCATTCTTTTATTTACTGTCTGTTGTAGAATCTTGCACATAATTTATGAAGCTGAAATACTGTACCATTCAAACGTTTGACTAAAGTCATATTGGTATATTATGAAGATTCTTAGAGCTTTTTTGTTTAGGCTGTAGTTTGCAGAAATGTGTGAATGGGAACTTTTTTACCCAGAAATTGTGGAAACATATTACTGTGTTTAACATTGAACTGGCTTCCACTCTAAGTCTTTTGCCTTTATCCCCGAATTTACCAGGAGAAAGTTAGAATTTTTAGGTTAGAATTTTTCTGGCACTAGCAAGGTACATTTGATGAAGAAATTATTGGATAGTATGAATATCACTAATAAGGATTTTACTTGAACATTTTTCTGCTCATTTGGCAAGTCATAGAATGCTTTGAAATTGCTTAATCCCTTTTTTAACATAGTTCCAATCTTTTTACCTAGTCGTAAATGGTCAGCTGTTGCTGTAAAACCAGCAGCTATGTATGTTGTAGGTTGCTATGGTCAGATAATATCCTCCACCTCCCCCCTGCCCCCCTGTCATTGTCATCTCCTGAAAACTTGCTTAGATAAAATTCATCAAAAGGCCTGCTAAAGTAATTCTTTTAAGTATTGGCTTATGTGCTTTGCTGAATTTTGAGATCGTTGTGATTAGTGAAGCCGATGTTCATATATATATGGCTCTGCAGTCTCCAGAAGGCAAAGTCTTAGAAGTAGTAATGACATCCAAGGATATTAATGAGTGAGAGGAATTGGATATGGATAGAAAAAAATCCTCTCAAATCAGTCTGGGACTGACTGGGTGGAAGAGCGATGTGGAAAAAAGGGATTGTAAAGTGTTCTTTATGAAATTTAAGTCTTTATCGAGACATCTGCCATCTAGATATCTCCGTTTTGCTTGTAATAAGCAGCAGACGTGAATCCTGGCATTTTTTTGCTTACTTTAGCTGTATTTTTTCCCTTTTAATTCAACTATATTTTTTCTCTGTAACTTAGTATTTCATTAAATTTGGGATGGGATTATTGTTTAAATTCAGATGTCTTTAAGTTAGATATCTAAGCTTAAGCTGGTCACTCTTAATTTCTTTTCATGATTAGGAGAAAGAAACATTTACTATCAGAGGGTGTGTCATTGCATCCTAAGATTAGAATCTAAAATGAGTCGGGTAATTGCTCTCTGGGGTTGCCTCTTTCTCATTATAGACTACTGGCAGCCTAGGGTGGCTAAAATGAAATTATATGAATACCATTGAGAAAATTTGAAAATACTACATCACTCAAGCACCCTTGCTCCCCTTCTTTTCCACTATCTTCTTTGTATATTTGCCTATATGTATCTGTAAATACAGGTAAGATTTCTAATTTTAAAACAGATTTTCAATGGATTAGCTTAATTTCATAGTGAAACACCCATAAGTTTCTCAGATTTATGGACACTGTATAGGAGAATCTGGAAGAAAGGATCTCTGTAAGGCTCAGCTGATTGTTTGCTCTCTTTCTTGGTCTCAGTATATTGCAGCAGACTGTGATTTCAGCTCCTGCTTCTCTGCTGCTACAGGAGAGCAGCTACCAGGAATAAGATTAGACAAGATCAAACTCTTTCCTCCCTGATCTATCTTCTGTGTTTAATCATAAAAGTATTTAGTTATGAAGAATGTTAACTACAGAATTACAAAGTTATTCACTGAAACTGGATATCGGATAACTGACTCTGAATGTCAGATCGTGAACTAGAGCTAAGACTTGTAATAGGTTAGCAGGTTAAACAAGAAATCAATACTAGACAGGCTTTGGTGATATTTTAAAAACATCTTCATAACAGAGGAGTCCTAAGAAAGAATGGTAGATTCCTAGGTTTTTCTAATTCACTAGTAAATCTTCCATTCCTTTTATATGTAAGTTCACCACAGGATGATACTGGCATCTTTATGTTTTTTTGTTACAATTCTGGAAATAATTTTAATTTGTTGTTTTCCCAGATTTGCTTCTGAGCATCGATTTTGGGCACCCAGTGAAGTAGAGGAAGAAGTAGAAAACAAAGAAATAACTGAAATGTTAAAAACTAGATATATAACATTTGCTGGCAAGTTTGAACCAGTGAAACATAAATGTCGAGCACCAATGCCTGATGGAAGACTGTGTGAAAGACAAGATCGGATTAAGGTGGGCACCAAGTTACATAACTTCCAGGATAAGTGCTATGTGGAGAAGAACCCATTAAAGCATGTCCATAAAAGTTTATTTCACGTTGTAAATACAGCTCAAGGGAGTGGAAGAAAAATTGTGTCTGGAGAAGTTTGTTTTTAATGTGTACTTCATATGGGAAGCATCGTTTTGGTAAGGAAACTGTAAACATTTAAGGAACTCCCAAATATTTTTGGCATTCATCATAGGTATTTCTATTTTAATTATTACTGCAATATATGAGTACCTGATAGTAAAGCAGAGACGGTTAGTTGGTAGTCAAAAATTTTTCCTCATTTAGAGGCATATTTGTTGCTAAGTGGTTTTAGAAACTTGGGTGTTTGAGGGGCAAAGAGATTTTATTTAGAACTAGCTTTTATGAAAGCTAAATCTTACATAGGCTCAAATTATGAATCCTAGTCAGTAGAAATACTCTGCTTAAATACTTTGTTCTAATATCCCTGTTCTTCCTGTATTATCTGAGATTGAAGAATCTGAACGTAATAAAATACTTTAACTGGGATTGTTACAAGATAGGGTTATAGCATAAACAACAACATATAATGCAGCATTTGGTGCCCTTGTTCCAGACTTGACAGGATATGCTACTTGCTCTCTTGAAACTGGATAGTCATATCACAAAGAGCTTATTTCTTTGAGATTCTGAATATATTAAACACATGATGTTTATGGGATCCTGATGCTTTCTAAGAGGGACTGGGAATCAAGTGTAGAGTTTTGTGTCTTGATTCTGGTGTCTGGCTTTAAGCTATGTTAAATAATATGTAAGCATTTTCTTTTTATTTAGAAATGTTGAGATTTTCTTTCCCCTTTCTTTCTCAAGTGCCCTTTCCATGGAAAGATAATTCCTCGGGATGAATCTGGAATTCCCATTAATGCAGAGGACAGAGCCAGAGAAGAAAAGATGCGATTTGAGAAGCAAGCGGCTCAGCCAGGTTTGTGTCTGCATAGCATCTTTAAGGAGGGGGGACCAAAAAAAAAACCAATAAAAAATTAGGCAGAAGTGGGAGATAAGCTTTAAACATAAGTGTAATATCTTTATTGTGTATGTTTGTGTATATTTTGTATACAATATTTACGTCTACAATATATTTACAATCTGTAAAATAATTGTATATATTGTACCTACATTGTATCTATGTGTTTCATATTGCATCTACAATATATTGCATCTAAATTGTATCTATATATTGTATCTGTGTATAGCTATAGTGTAGATACAAGTTGGATAGCAAACTTAGTATACAGTTGGACAAGAAATGTGACAGGCTATAGGGGGAAGAGCGCCAATTCTTCTGTCACTAAAGGCACAGGTTGAGATCCACAGAACTGGATCATATTTCTGTTTTGCTCCTAACCACAGTGTCTCATTTAAATTCCTGTTGATTTTAATTTGCAGATCATTTGCAGTGATTCTTGCTCATGTGGTAAATATGGATGCTTGTGTACACGGAATAAGGTTAACATTGTGTTTGTTCTTTATTTCCAGTAGTTATCATAATACTCCTAACACTTCTCAGACAGACAAATTATGGCCTTTATATTAAGGAACATGTTTATTAAGGACAATTAAACCTATTTCCTGGGAAATGCTCAACAGTAACTGTTCCCATGCTTCTGAAAATAAGGTGTCTAATCTTGCTGGTCCCTAACAGTTGTGCTTTACATAATGTAATGATGATAATATTAGGATCACTGTGTCACCACAAATATTGACAGAGTGGCTTTTTGTCACAATGCGGGAACTTGTTTTTCCGGTATCTATTCATATCTACCCTATTCTATGTTTCCTATATCTACTGACTTGTGTTTTAGAAGGAGAATTCCTGGTCCTGTTATGCTGTGCATCTGTGCAGCATTGCCGGAACATACTCTGAACTAGGGAAGCCCTCACCTTGGGCTTTATTGGCATTATAACTAGTCTGGATGTTCTAATAGGCATGATCTTTGTGATGGGCTTCAGAAAGGGAGCAAGCAGACCTGTGCTGTTTATTTGTTCAGATGCTACTCTGCAATACTCCAGACTTTGTTTTTAAACAGTGGGGATGGACAACAAAACTTATGGCTGCCTCCTTGCATCCTGGCTGCTGCTTTCAGGTGTGGAGGGAAGGGTCATCCTCCTCCAAGATTATATGGTCATTTTTAGCCAGGACTGTATTTTTAGCTTTGGACTGCTAGGTGAGGAATGCAGGCAATCAAAGACAGCAAGCAATGAATACACAGGCAGGAAGACTTCCAAGGGGAATAAGAGAGTTTTTTGCAATAGTAGAACTAAACCTCATTAGTGATGGACAGAGGTAGATTTTCATAAAGCACTGGGGGAGATTGCAACCGGGAAGCTACTGGTAGTTGATGGACTGCAAAGGTGGGAGAAAGATCTATCCAGCAAAGACATAGTGTATAATTGGACGGGACAGATTTGTTTTCAGTGCTTTTATCTAATCTGTCTTCCTCCAACAGGTCTTAGTATTGTCTGTTTTAAGCTATTTATTCTAGGTAAGTATTCTGCATTTGAATTAAATTCTGCATTTGGATTAAACTTACACACAGGCATTATAATTTTGCTATCTTGTAATATACTCCCTTTAAAGAGTTAGTTCTCTTTTAAACTCTGACTCAGTATTTCACCAGTTTGTTATATAAATTATTAATGAGGCTACTGAACCTTCCACAAGACCTCTTCAGAGCATAACAGTTGTCAATCTGTTATCCAAAAAGATCTATGTCGAATGAATGTGCACTTAAACATACAACCGACCCGCCCAATTTCCTTTAATACCAATTTGGCCATCTCTGAGTGTGCTTGGCAATTACCAACACCACATGAATGCAGCAGTTACTGAACACCTTCTGGTATTTGCATGTGTTGAAGTGCTACGTTTGCAGGTAGTTTCCATCCTTGTCCAGGTGGAGTGAAGTGCTCTAAACTGTCATCCAGCCGACAGCATGGGCACAGTTGGACTGTCACAGCAAAACTGGGGCAGGGGTGTGGGTGGTATGCTAAAAAGGGAAGTTCCCAACTTAGTTATGACAAACTAAAACTGGCAAGTTAAACTAGTAGGTGTTCTTGGGTGACTACTTTCAAACTAGAAACTTATACTCCAGTATAAAAATCACTTGCACTGAAAAATATTGATTTTTTTTTTTCCTGTGAAATTGCCATTGCTTGAAGCTAGACGTAATATTTATTTTTATTACAGTGTCAGCTTGGTGTTGTTAGAGGCTTCTCACCTCTGGCCCACAAGGATGTGTATGTTAGTCCCAAACCAGTGTTGACATTGCTGCGTTGCATTATTGAGTGCCGTTGTTAAGATGAGATGTCATACAAAGGTCCATCCTGTCTGTCTGGGGAGATACTGAACAAGCTATGTCACTTAATTTATTGGACAAAACCTCACAGGTTTCTAAAGCCATATGTATACCAGATGTCACTAAATACTCTTATCCACTGCTTTTTGTTGCTTACTTTTTTCTGTGCCTATTTTTATATTTGTCTTTCATCAGCCTTTTTTAAATAGTCTTTTGCTTGCATGTTTTGGGCTTGTGGTTTGGGAGGGGTATTTGGCTGGTTTGCATTGGGGTTTGGGGTTTTTTTAATTTACAAAAGACTTGAAGCAAGACTGAGCAGTGCTGCTATGGAAAATATACAAGTGGGAACCCACTCTGTACAGTGAGTACTTTGGTCTTATGATTGACAACATCATTTGCTAACAACAACAGTTTGAAAAAAACATTAAAATTTGGGAATCAGTTGCGTGGTTAAACTGCACCAGAATTCTTCCTACATATTTTTCCTATTGGATGGATTTTCATCCTTGCGTGATTGAAGGGAAAAACAATTATGTAAAAGTAATGCAGTTCGTGTGATAATGACTGTGTTTTGACAGCACTATCATTGTTATTACAGAGCGTTTTTTAACAGTGTAAAAATTTAAACTCTAGCTAATGTCCACAAAATGGTGCTTTGGGCTCTTTGGTCCTGAAACAATGAATCAGGTGGGATTACGCTGACCTGCTAATCTGCAGTGTTCATCCTTTTCCAATAGTTCGCACACAGGAGCAAATTAAGTGCCTATTTTTTGTGTCAACCCTGAAGAGTATCTGGTTTTTCAGCCCTTAGTGACTTGTTAACAAACAGGTATCAGGACAGGCTGGTGAAGGCAGGCCGCTGGCCAGTCAGATGTGAAATAGCATCTCTTTACTAACTACAGTATTGATTCCCGCCTACCCTTGCAAACTGTGTAATTTTCTTTTCCCTGCTGCTAAACTCAGTAACAATGTATGAAGAGCTTTAGGGGCCCATCAATGCTCAAAAAGGCTGCTCTTCCCTGGCATTCTATTGATTTTTCTCAAAGGCTTTTAAATTGCTCCTTCATTTTACTCAAATGCTCATTTCATCTCTACTGGATGCCAGCATTTTTTCGTTGTGTTTAAACAATTGCTCCATTCACTGGGTTCCTAAACTGTGACGCCTTCTTATTACTGGGAGATAAACTGTTTAGACAGTTTTCCTTAATCTTGGATTAATCGTTCCTGTATCTGAATTGTGCTGTTCTGTATTCCTTCACTTAAAAAAAAAAAGTCTGTGAGGTCTTACGATCTATCAAGTATATGTGTTGTATTTTCTCCCTCTATACTTCTCCTGCTCAGTTCTCGCACAGCTTCATTTTCCCTGTGCTTTTTGGTGTGTTGGATTTTAATCAGCCCTTGCTTTCATGTATCATAGTAGGTTAGATCTAAACTTTCTTTGGAAAATTGCTCTGCTATTCCTAAACACCATGTTCTCATTGCCTCTGACCTTCCTGAAATGTTGTTACCAATATTTGTCACACTCAGTAACCATCTTGGTGTATAAGTGAACTTGTGTAGTTGTTTAGGACTGTTTATTTTTCTATATTTACATAGATGTTAAGTAAGGGTAGTAGACATTTGCTAGTGCAATCTCTGCAGGCAAGAAAAGCCATCTGACATACAGGAAACTATATGATGAATGACTGGCAATTACTGGTTGTTAAAATACAGAATTCTGACACTTATGGTGAGTTTGGACTGTGTTACTCTTTGAAGTGGTACTTGCTACATTTTTTTTCCAACCCATATGCTCAAAATCTTTATAATGCAATGCTATTTTTCTAAATTTCCCCTTGAAGATACCCATTGTCTAGCTACATTTTTACTTTCTGTTTTTTACTTTGTTCTAATATGCAAGACTTTACACTACAGGTGAAAGACCATGGCTTCCTCAAAGAGTTCACAGTCTAAATTGTTGAGGATTTTTCCTGTGGTGGCATCTGTGGTCAGAATCCATTAACAGCATATGGCTGGATTCTGAAGTGTTAAGGTTTTGATAAAACTGTAAAAAACATGTTTTGGATTAGTTAAATTAACTGTTGTGCTATTGTCAAGAGAAGAAACTTGGTTTAGATAATTAAAATGAGGAAATGTAGGATACTTAAAAAGTAGTATCTTTTTCAGATGCAAAATTGGGCTCATGGCAACAGGGTCATGTTGTCTTATTCAGGAATGCTATTTAGGTGTCAGGTACACCAGCAAATATGATTCCTTGATGCAGAAAAGTTACGGTATTGTCACCCCTATTCTGCTCGAAAATTGACATATTCAATTTTTTTTTAGGTTTGTTTGTAAGCTTATTCAGAATTTATTTCTGGAGTTAAGTTCCTCAGCTACATCGTTGGCATTTTGTTCAATTTCTAAATAATAATCACTGTTTTATGTCACCTCTCCTACATGGAATAGTTTTCTTGGAATTTCGCTAATGTGAAAACTTGAGTCTTCCTGCAGAACAGTTTTATCTATAGCAGCTAATAATACATACTAATCCCAGAGTGGCAGAGCTTCTTCATCAAGATGTGTAGTTTTGGCTAACTGCTTTATCCTCCCCTTCCTTTGTGTATGCAGTTTACAGCAGTGACTCTGCCCTCGCCTAGTGGTGACAAGAACCTCTGCCTTAGGAGTCCGCAAATTCTACCTGGGTTTGGAGTTTCAAAGTGCATGCTTTTTCTTTTAACAGAGTGGCGAGATCCAGAATTCATGAGAGAAGTTGAAGCAGCTACAGGAGTGGATCTTGGTTCTTCTAAAAATAATGGAAAAGGAGGAAAAAAGAAAGGGAAGAAGAAAAAATACCCAAATCTGACAGACCTGAAGCAGCAGTCTAATACTTCTCGTTCCCGGCTTGAGAAGAAAGTCTTCAATAAGTAAGATGCTTACCTTCTCTAAAGCCTGTTAAATTGCTGTTTCCCTTTGTTTCAATGGTACTTTTTGTTTCTACATTAACATTCACTTACTAAACAACTTTCTTGGCTAATTGTAGAGCAGGAGTGCCTTCGATATCTCTGGAGGGTAAAGAGTAGCAGGTATAACCAAGGTTATATCTCTGATTTTCAGCTAACTTATAAAATTTCCCTATGAAAGATTTTTTTATTATTATTCTTTTAATTTGTTTTAAAATCCTTTAATTGCTGTAGTGGCTTCTCTGGATGATCATTTATTGATCAGGTGGATGCTACTTTATATGTACTGATAGTACTGGGTCTGGAAAGAAGATGTATTCAGAGTGACACAACTGACAGCATCAGACACACTGTAGTAGTGTAGATGGAGTGAAAATGAAGTTTTTCCTTTTAAAGCCAAAGATGGGCTTTCCTGAGCAGAACATTTAATAAAAGGATCTGTGAAAACCCCTTGGCTTTTGGTGTACAGCAGTGTGTTGACGGTTGCCCTCATGCCTCTGGTGTATTCTTAGAGACCTTCCCAAACTTGTGACTGCTGCCTGGGCTTCCTGTGTATTTTTTCTCACTCTTGGGTATAATAAATTGTTAGCTGGGCCTGATGCAGTGCCGTCCAGCATGTACACACAGTGATCCCTTCCTGTGTATTATTCAGTCACAGATTGCCATTGCATTTTCCTCCTCCTTTACTGAGAATGCATTCAACTGGTTAAGAAAAGTATTTGGATCCCTGTGTTATGGTCCTTGTTCACTTAACCTCTGCTATCTTTTGTAAATATCAAGGACTGGAACCTGCTGCAGGTCTTTCTTCAGTGTAAGAGTTTGGAGATGATTGTTCCCTGTACCAGAGACATGTGAACACAGTATTCTTCCTGCAGCAGTGCTGTTTCTATACATCTCCCTTTCCCCCCAACACATTTGCAAGCAGTAGCTCTTGGCCTACATTTAGCTCAAGAAGAAACTGTTTGGGTGGCTGAACAAAGGTGTATCCATGATTTATGTAGGCATATGTGAGTTAGCTTTAAACCAGGCACGCTAGCTCATATGGAAGTGGGAGCCTACCGACCCACCAACCTGAATGGGTTTTAGAACGTATAGTATCTCCATAGGTCCACTCTGTTACGCCATTTCTGATACCTAGTCTTGGTTAGATGTGGCTGCAACATAAATTTGCCTCGCATAATCTGGTGTTTATCAAATGGAAAGCAGCTGCAGCTATTTAAAGAGTTTCACATGTCAAAAATGAAGTAGTCAAAGGAAAGTGAAAAGTGTAAAGCTGTCAAATCAAAAAAAGCAAAATTATTATTATAAATTCATTAATGGTGGGTTATTCCCTAAACATAGTGGATGAGTTGAACAGCATCCAAGGCACAATATTTGTTTAAACTCTATTTCCCCTTTTCTGATGTAATGGTTATAATAACAAAGCCAAATCCACATTGCTTTTAGTTACAGAAATAGCACAATTTCTGTTAAATTCTCATGTCACCTGATATTAGTTAGAAGTCAGACACATGCATTTCTAATGATCAGAATTTCATATCGGCTTTAACAAAATAAATTTTAAAAGCTGGTTTTGGTTTACTGTGGTTTGTGTTAATGATTTTGAGCGTGTGTTAGTGCCAGGCATAGGGAATCAAACCTGTCATGTTTTAATAGGTTTCATGCTTTGCAGCACTAAACAAGATGATAACCTTGGCTCCTTATAACAACCCCAAATTACTTGAAATGTATAGGTGATAAACCCAGGCTCTCGTCTGCCAATAAAGTTAAGTGAAATTGCACACAGATCATCAAAGTGGGATCTCATTTCATTTACAGTATCGCACAATCCAGTGGTGCTAATGTAAAACCTACATGACATGAAAGTGTCAAGGCCACTCTGCACTGCTAAAGGCTCACTTTTCTCCTACCAATTAGGCAATATTTGAAGTGCAAAACCATGACCACATTTTCCTTACTCTGGTAACTTTATTGGCAGAATTTTTTTAAAAGTATACCTCCTTCCCAGGTGTTTTTTCATAAGGTTGGTTTTCATTAGAGTTGCTGCTGAGAAAATCTTTAATCCCATCATTTAGAGGCATTATTAAGAAGTATCCTCTGTTTTCAGATGTTTAAAAATGGCTTTTGCAATGAAGCCATTACAGAGAGCAGTTAGCTAAAACAGTCAGCTTGCTTCTCAGAGATAACCACAGGAGCAGAGCTGGAATAGTGTGTGGGGCATGCACTACCAAATGCATGTCTTCATTTTACTGCACAGCCTGCAGAAATATCCTCAGAAGTGATAAACGCAGACTGTGACAACATAGAGTCTAATAGCACTAGTCTTGAAACCATCCACTTTGTGTGATGGAACTTGCTGACTGCATTTCTGATGTAGAAATCAAAGGAGACCTCAGTCAGTGCCATGTCCTTAGATGGGACATAGTCCCTCATACCAAGCCCTCAGCTGGTATCTCTTCCCATATGGGCAGAGCATCCAGGTCTTTTCAGAGATGTGTTAGGAGGTAATTTCCTTCTTTGTAAATAAAGGCAGGGTGACATCGGAGCACACCTACAAATATCAGCTTCAGATTTCTGAGCTTTTGTGCTAGAGGCATCTAAAGTAACCAATAAAAATGGGAACTCTAGAAACCTGTGAAGAACAAAGTGCCCTAGGCAAGATGCACTCAGCTGTAAGAGCTGCAGCCATAAGTTTCTCTGAGGGCAGATGTATGAACAGAGCATTCTCTTGGCTTCTGCTACTGCCTTTCTTCTGCTTTCTTACTCCTCATGAACCTATTCCGCTGCCTTATCAGTTAAAGGATATATAGGCCTGCTCTCTGTCTTTTATGAGAATCTCCTGTTCCTATTCATGCTGTCTAGCATTTTTTTCACCCTCAAAATCTCAGCTGCATGTTCATTCAAAAGTTGTGGAGGGGAAAAAAAAATGCAGATGTCTTCACCCAGTTCAAAAGCATAGCAGTCACTCCCAAAAGGAGAGAAATCTCTGAGCACAGTCTTTACTGGGAGGAAGCAATCACAGCAAATGAAGAGCAGCAACATGGGGGCAAACCTTCACCAGATTTAGGAGCACCAGAAAGTTTAAGAGCTCTAAAGTTCATTCCTTTATTTCCTCTTTGAATCTGAAGAGCACTCCAGAGCCTTCTTCAAGCAGAGCAGGCACTGCAGAGGGCTCGAATGCTTGTCCATCACGAGGTAGCAGAGATCCTCCTCTACTTTATATAAGATAGTGGATGTACTGTTCTGACTATGCTAAACTCTAAGCACTTAGCTGCTCTGCAGCAGTAGTTTATCTCTCTGCACAGAGATACGTGACAGTCTCTGGTGTCTTCCTAAACTAGTGTTGTGCTTGTAGATTAAATAGTTGCTGCTCAAGAATGGAGATGTTGCTGGTGTGAGCAAGAGCCTTACTCTGCCCACAGCTGATGAAATGAGGTTTTAGTAACCTGTGAAAGGAAAGTTGCTGCATGCATTGTAGTTACATGTGAATTGAACAGCAAGCCCTTCCCTCACAGAAACATCGTAGATTCTGCAGGTTGGATTTCGTAAGGGTTTCTGAGTGTTAGAGTTTTTTAGATTCTGTTAAATACTTTTAGTTATTTTCCCCTGAGAGCAGTTAGGTGCTTTTAAAAATCAAACTTGCTCTGTGTGACTATCAGACATAATGCTAGGAGGGTGGAATGCACAGCCATTAAACTGAAAGACTTTAATTTGTTTACTCCTGTTAATAAAATCATTGCTGAATGAAACTATTTGTATTGCAGCAGCTAATTTAGTTAACAAGACAAATTTGTTCAGCCTCATCAGTGCAGTGTTCAGAACCCTGGTAGTGATTAATCATAGTTCATTTTTTCCCCCAATATTCATAAATATTCTCTGAGATTGTGTAGAATCAACATAACTGTTTTTATTTTTTTGTTGTTTGTTTCTCTTTCAGAGGTGCTGTGAAACGGGTGGTGAAAGCAATGAACCAAATGGACCGAAGAAAGCATGAGAAGTTTGCCAACCAGTTTAACTATGCACTGAATTAAATTGTTAATCCTCTTTGCCCTTCATTTTGTTACAAGAGTGCAACTGAACGAAACATTTATCTCAGATATTCGCGTTTACACTAAAATACTGTGCTAGGTGCATTTTTACTGGGGTAAATTTTTAAATTGTTTTTGACTTTAACTTATTTTATAATGAAAGTTAATTTTGGCAAAGATGTGATGATATAGAAAGGAATGCACTTAATTTAATAATTATTTGAAATGTACATGATATAGAGCATGTTTTATGACTTTTACATTGTGTAAAATGTTCAGGTTTTGGGGACTTTTTTCCTTCTTAAGGGACTCATGTAATTTATACCTCCTTTGTCAGTACGTGTCCTGTAATTTTCCTCCACTTCCATGCCTTTAGAAAAAAGATGCCTTAGAAACAATTAAATTTCTACTGGAGACAGCAACACACAGAGTATTTGCTCAGCCTACTGTGCTAGGAAGTGTACCACATCAAGCAGCACAGTGGCTCCTGCAGTACCTCTGAAGACCTCTTGTGTACACACAAAAAAGAAAAGTCAAAACCAACTGATGCCATCAGGTAATGAATGGAGTAGAAAATGTGTTGTAAAAGTTTGTAGAGATACTCAAAGTGCTGCAGTTTAACTGATAATCAAAAAGCTCCAGTACAAAGTGGAAGTATGAAGGTTTAAAAATTGTTAAAGTGGCATATTGTACTAGTGAACTACCTGTCTTGAATCAGTTAAAATGACATCAGGCTCAGGCCTGAGAGTGCATCTAAGGATACAGATATAAACACAAGTATCTGGCGTCTTCTAAGTCCATAGAGTTAACATGCATACTGAGATCAAGCAGCTGAACCCAATGTGGTTTTCTTGTCATTGGCTGGGTCCTTAACTAGATCTCCCAAACCTGCTTTACTGGCTACAGTCAGTTTGGTACAGAACCAAATATTGACCAGTTGTGCTCCTGCAAGGTTTCATACGGCCTTATGGGTGAAGGAAATCCAGAGTGTGAAAGAGGACAGAGCATTTGAATATCAACTTGAAAGTGAACTGCAACAGTCTTTGATAAAATACTGAATACAAATTAGAATGGATTCTCTATAGCACGGGCCCAGTCACTCACGTGTTGGACGTGTTCCCTCATGCATCAGGAGACTATGAGAATTAAAAAAGGAGATTTAAACTCCTCAGTGTAGCTTCTGACCACCTCAGACAAAAGCTAATTTACAGTTCTGCCACATACCTTTTGACTTGCACAAGTACTGCTTAGAAAACAATTAATGCTGGATCTTGATAGTTTATCTTGTGAGAGCTCTGCAGTTAGGAAGACATTTTCCTCTTCAACACAGTTATTTAGATGATGTACTTCTAATCTACCAGAGATAAAATAATAAAGAGCCAGAATTTCAAAGACTATCTATGCACTGGAAGGCAAAGCCACTTCTATTGGTATGGCTCACTTGGTAGTAAAAGCTTCAGGTGAGACCGTAGACAAGGACAAACCAAGTTCTTCACCAGGTCAGTTGAATCAACTGCAAAACTGTTTTTATTTCTGATTAAGGATAAAGACACACAACACAAAAAGAAAAAAAAAAAAGGAGAATCAAACCCAACAACAAACCCCTGCACATTTGAATGTAGTATAGATCATTGGATGCTGGGATCCCAGAACAGTATAAATGAAACTGTTTTATCTTGGAGATTAACAGTCAAAAGAGCCACCAAGGTCATTGTGCTACTGTTCCAGAGATGTCTGAGCCTGCACAAGCTGAAGGTGTTCATTTATAAGACATATTTTCTCTCGTCCCTGTAAAAAAAAAAAAAAAGTGAAGAGTGCAGTGGAACTTAACCCTTCTTTGCTGTGGACATGAAATGTCAGCACTAGAAGATCTCCAGCAAACAGTAGGTGCACTTTGCCCCATGGAGTTCCCATTTTGGGCCTTTAGTAAAATAAATAAATGATGTTTTTTAGTACAGAATTATCAACTGAAACTTCCTATCTGGACCTGAGTGTCCAATCCACCAGTTAAACCTGATCCTATAATGTCATCTGTATGCTCTCCCCCTTTATTTATTAAAAACACATCCATGCAAAAAGGTGTTTTTCTAGAGTGTCTCTTTCACACAGAAAGATAATTTGCAGAATTAAGGTTTCCCAGCAAGTGACTTGGGAATGGCTAACTCAGACACAGGTGCATGGACTTTGTTAGTAATGCCAGGTTAGTAATGACCTTTTTTAAAGCTCCTCTACTTCCCTTTTTTTGTCGTGGTTTTATCGCAAGAACTGTCTTTGTCAGGTGGGGAATATACCCAGTTGGATATGAATTGTTGCTAACAAGCATTCTTGTTAGACCTGATCAGACCTAATTCAGAGGATTTGGGGAGCTTTCTCCTTTTCCTGGGTTTATCTGTAGCTCTGCTGGAGGAAAAAAAGTCATCTCCAGAGATCCAGCATACCTTCATTAAGTAGAAATCCTTTTAAGTTCAAAATAAATTAATCTACTTTTTAGATACATCACACCTCTTTGTGCATCACTTACAGCAATTTACAAATTTGAGGTTTCTGAGCTCACCAGCTTTTCAGTCATCTGAGCTGCTAAACTGTCTGTGTGACATTTCTATGGGATCTTTGCTATTCTGGTCCTCAGGGCTTCTGGGGAAAAAAAAAATATTAAAAAAATACAAGTATCATTCACATGATCTCCGCTGTGTGTTTCTATCTTTATAACTCAAATGTCCTTGCAGTTGTACTATAACATACTTCTTACGGGGGATGCTGTATGATTTCCAGGTATGTAAACACCTTGGATGATTTGGCCCTTGGAGTGTTGTTGAGGTGCACAGTTGTAATACAGGTTGAATGTTCTGTATTTCTAAAAGGTCACAGTAATTCTGAGCTGAAGTGAGCTGTGCTGATGCATCTAAGTTATCCTTTTATAACTAGTGCTGTTTCTGTGGTAAAACAAGAACTGAAAGCAAAGACTTCATGGTTGTTCTTACCATGCACACAGTTCATCTGGGAAGTAAAAGCCTGGAGGGAAAAGGCTATAGCTTGTACAAATTTAGTGCTGTTCAGGGTTGGAACACTCAAATACAAAGCACATAGTAACGTAGATAAACGTGGTAGGGAGTTTGTGAGCAGGGCTTTGGAATAGAAACAGTCCTTTAGCACATCTCTGAAGTTACTGAGCCAGGATGATGGGCCCATACTCATCTTTTACATGATATCTTATAATTCCATTTTGTCTAAGCGTACTTGAGGCTTGGCTTTAGCAAACCAGGTCTAGCTGAAGATTTCTATTAGAAAACTGTAACCCTTAAAAGCTCTTAGGATTTATGTTTAAAAGATTTATTTGGGGTTTTGGGGTGGGTTTTGTTTTTGGAAGCAAGACAAAGACACAGGATTTGTAAGTGGTTCTGCATGGACAATGTATCATGCCATGTAAAACAGTTTGCAGGCTAGAGAGGGCATCAGTGAGTTCAAAGTGGACAGTATTGAAAAAAAATCTTTCTTTTGTGGAAAACAAACAAACAAACAAACCTATTTGACTTAAAGTGGCTGTGGAAATGGACAGTAAGGATGTTCCAAATTATAAGAAGCTACTAGCCAGAAGCAAGAAGTATTGAATCTCAGGAACCCAGCCCAGCAAAAAGCTCAGATCGGCATGTATCAAATAGTTTGGCAGAGATAGCCATCTGGTGGTCTCTAACACTCATGGAAACACCTGGCTGGTCACGCAACTGGGTTTGCAGCATATCCAGTGTTATTAAACATATTAATGGTTTTAATAACGGAGGTCACGTAAACATCTCTATAGGTTACGCATTAGGAAAGGTAAGGACATCTGGATGCAACAGATGATGAAAACTGGTCATTTAAAACCATAACTTTTGAAATGCTACTACTATATAGAATCACACAGTCATCAAGGTTGGAAAAGACCTTGATCATCCAGTCCAACCATTAACCTAACGCTGACAGTTCCCAACTCCACCAGATCTCTCAGGGCTATGTCGACTCTACTCTTAAACCCCTCCAGGGATGGGGACTCCACCACCTCCCTGGGCAGCCCATTCCAACACCCAACAACCCCTTCTGCAAAGAAATGCTTCCTAATATCCAGTCTAAACCTTCCCTGGCACAACTTGAGGCCATTCCCTCTTGTCCTATCACTTGTTACTTGGTTAAAGAGACTCATCCCCAGCTCTCTGCACCCTCCTGTCAGGCAGCTGTAGGGGGCGATGAGGTCTCTCCTCAGCCTCCTCCAGACTGAACCCCCCCAGTTCCCTCAGCCGCTCCCCAGCAGACCTGTGCTCCAGACCCTGCCCCAGCTCCGTTGCCCTTCTCTGGACACGCTCGAGTCATTCAATGTCCTTTTTGGAGTGAGGGGCCCAAAACTGAACACAGGAATCGAGGGGCGGCCTCACCACTGCCGAGTACAGGGGTCAGATCCCTTCCCTGTCCCTGCTGGCCACGCTATTGCTGACACAAGCCAGGATGCCATTGGCCTTCTTGGCCACCTGGGCACACTGCTGGCTCCTGTTCAGCCGGCTGTCAATCACCCCCTCAGGTCCCTCTCTGACTGGCAGCTCTCCAGCCACTCCTCCCCAAGCCTGTAGCGCTGCTGGGGGTTGTTGTGGCCCAATGGCAGCCCCCAGCATTTGGCCTTACGGAAACTCACACAGTTGGCTAACTGTATAGGAAAACTTCATGCCATTACAGCATAGTCTGACCATGGATAGTGGCAAATAGGCATAGAAAGGGGCTTTCCACAAACTAGCCCAAGGAAGGTCTATGTATCTCAAAACTAGAGCCCAAGAAAGGCTTAAGTTTCCTGGGCCACCAAGAGTCTGTACATGCCTGAGCGGCACTGGCCATCCCACCTAGACCAGAGTTCTTGCTCAAGCCTAATGAGACCCAGGAAAATAATTATATGAATGCTTGAGAAGGCTCGATCTGGCACACCTCACCTAGCACCCACCAAACACACACCTTTAACAAAATCACTGTTTTCAAATGGGCAGCGGCAATCATGGTGCATGTAATAGCTATAATGCTGGAGCACACGTTCAGGCGAGATGGAATTCCAGTTCTCTCCTCAGCCTAAGAGGTGACAGTCCTGTGTCCTGTCTCAAGACATAGCCCAGGCCATGGGCAATTTAAATGCAAGGGAGCTGGAAGGACACAATTCCCATCACCCATTCTCCTGTGGGAACTGAAACAACCACAGTGGAGCTAAAAATGCTTCATGTAGGGAGAGCAGACAGGAGGTAAGAACGAGCCTTCCAGATTACAGTCCCCAGATCAGAGCCAGGGAGGACTGGATCCTCGTTCCCTAGCCACCTACTATTAAAAACACCACTGAGTTTCATGGATTCAGGGAAAAGCTCCTCATAGCAATTGTCACCAGCTAAAAGATTGAACACCACACCCTGAGAGAAGGGTATTATTCTGATAATTACTGAGAGCAATTTCTCTGTATGTCTGGTTTGAGATGCACTGGGACAGCTACATCTAAATCAAACCAAAACAATTAACAACATCCTGCTTCTAGAAGGATAATGCTTGAATTTGCATCTGGAAAC